AGCTGCAGTGGCTTTCAGCTGTGATTATTTTGTTAATGGCTCTTTTCCTAACACCTCTTTTTGTCCTAGATTAGACGAAAAATCTTGAATTAAGGATCATAGCTTAAAAAGTACTCTCAGGTTTACTAAAAGCCTAGAAAAGTTTGCTTATGGTATAAACTCCTTCATTTCCTGTTAGGTCAGTCTTGGGAACACGAGCATCTCTAGATGCAAGGCTTTAGGACACCATGTTTTTCAACTCTTCTTATTCTCAGACTACCTTCTGCTGCTGCCCTTAGGCCTTGCCTGCTGTTTCAAAACTTGGCATCCACAGAAGCCCCGATTTCTGCACCTGGGAGGACTCAAATGGAGGACAAAAATAAAGCGAAGTCTAGGGAAAACCTGGACAAAAGGAGTCTGAAAAGGTGTGCAGTAACCACAAAGTGAGGAAATGAACCAATCTTGAGCTTTGCGATTAAGATCTGTGAACCAAATTCCACACATTCCTGACATTCCCGAGGTCGGCTGCCAGAGGTGATGGTGTTGTGTCCCTACTGCCAGCAGCAGAGACCTCATACACTTGAACTTTCCTCTGCATGACTCAGACTGTTCCCAAATTTCTGCACTATCAGTACAACAGGAGAGGGGAAAAGGAAAGACTTCTGTCCTCTGGATGAGCTAAAGAGTCACTTAATAACAGTTCTAAAAGACTATCAGTAAATTCTGCAGAAAATGTTAAAAACAGCTCCCCTGTGTTTATCATGGCTTCATTGGTTTTGAAATCTCATCAGCTTAAAGAACAGCAGTTGTATAGGGGAATGAAGCATGCTTCAGAGTACCTCATATATACAGTACTAAATCTACTCCACACTTAACAAAAAACAAAATTATTTACAAAACTCAGGATAAAACTACAGTTTAGTCGCAGAAAACCCACATGGGAGAGATGATCATAAGAAAGAGCAACATTGACTTAAATAATCTATATATAGTTATTAAATATCAGCCCATAGTTAAATATATCCCATTGTCCACAGGTGTGGAAATACTGTATTTCAGAGGTCAAATTCCCAATATTCATATAGCAGCCTTTATTTTCCAAAAATCCTACATTCTTAATAATGCCTGTATCACCCACAGCTTGATTTTTCAGAGACAGGTAGTTCCTTCTGAAAGCATCGCCATTTATTTTACTACCTGGTGAATGAATTCAGACTTTGTAAATGAATCAAGGACAAGACTTATTAATTAAAAAAAAAGCCATTTAAAACTTAAGTGACTGGGAATTTCAGTAAAATGACATTATGTCTATAAGTCTATAAATCTTGAATGAGCACCATAATGAAGTGTTACTGATGAACACGTCTGAAACTTATTCTCTGGACAAGGCCAAAACTTATTCTCTAAAAAAGGCAGCAGAATACTGACCTCTTGAATGAATGGAGATAACTCTTGTCTGGCACACAAAGATGTGTGCTCTTAGATCTGGATGGAGGTTGGCAGCACATGTTGTTAAATGCTAAAGGCAGAACAGTGCCTTGTCCTTGTCCTGTTCTTTTGACTTTTTGACTCTGTTTCCACTGAAGGAACTTGGAATACTTTTGTGTCTTGGCCAATGAAGCTCAATGTGCATCCAGCCCTGCAGTCCGCCCCAAGCTGCCACCCGTTCCCTCGGCCCCAGCAGTCAAGGTCTGGCCTCATGGGGTGCCCCAGCTGAGGAGTCAGAAGGGGTGTTTGCACCCCTCAATGCAGCTGCTGGAAGGAGGCAGACTGCTGGCCCTGTGCTCGGAAGTTGATCCCTCAGCTCCCTGGGGTCAGTGTTAAAACATCTCACAGTGAGGCACGCATTTGGCCTCTGTTCTCTGCTTTATTTCTGTTTTTTTCATTACTCTCCTAGGAATTTAATTTAGACTTCTTTTGGCACTAATTTTGCCCAGATCGTATTTCCTTTAAAAAAGTTATACAAATTTACTTTCTGTATCTCTTTAAATAGTCTCTTTACGTTTTTAGCACTCTTTTATTATCAGGTTTTAGTCTGATTTTAGTCTGATTTTATCAGATTTCAAATCCTGTTTTACTCCAACCATAAGCAAAAAAAAGCTATCAAAGCTCCCTCTTACCACATATACTCACAATCCTTGCCACTTTCTGTTCCTTTAAACTTGAAGAAAATATTGGTTTCCACAGATATTATTTCTACTGAAGATATAATTCTCTTCTCTTCTTCTTTCTAGACTGTAAGTCCTTTAAATGAAAGTGCTGATTTTTCTTACTGACAAAGAGATAGATGGTAGCAATGCCAACATTGTTCAAGACTGCTTAAGACTGGGGTTTTGTCTGTATAAATAATTCTCTGTCACTTTTGTTCTTAAGGCTATTGGTACTGCAGTATAGCTGTTCTATTCTGACTAATTTGCTCTTCTTGAATTTCTCTGGGCCTGATTTTACAAAGTCCTTATCATCTTTTATTTCCCAAAGGCATCGACTTTGTCTTGTTAAAGTCCCTTTATGTAGATAAGACAATAAAATGAAATAACAAAGAATGCCTGAGGACCACTGGTAGAATATTTTTGCATTATTCTTTGAGAAATAATGGATAATTTAATTTAGGAGGAGCTTTCTTATTTTCAGAGATGGGATAAAAGAGCTAGCTATTCTTTATACAAAATGTGATATAATGCATCTCTGTGTCAGAAGAGCTTTTACACCTTTAAAGACTGACATTTAATTGTGTATTACAGATGAGCATTTACTTCCTATTGTGGGGGTGAAAGAGATCTTATTTGCTCTGTTTTGGTTTTCAGTCACTCTAGACTTCCCCTCCTAATACTGTACTTTAATTATACCTGAGCTGTAATGGAAAGTTCTGTTCAATTTACTCTTGTTGATGTTATGACTGATGGGATAAAAACATTTTGCGCATACAATCAAAATTTGTGACTTATAACTCTGTTATTTCCCCACAAATACAGTATAATCCAACGACTACAATATTATCCCTGTGCAGTTTGTACTGTTTTCCTGTTTAAGCATATTCCCCTTCCTGCATATGACAGCTTTCAAGACAAGACCTAAACCTCACCCTTATTGGCCCAGCAACAGATCCATCACACTCTTGCTACTCCGAACACAAGAACTTCAGTCTCATAACCTGTCATTCCAGTGCCCCTCCATCTTTGCAATGTAGATTGCCTCTATAGGTGGTCTTGTCGCAGAAAGCCTGATTGTGTGAAGAAGACAAACAGGCAACTATTGTTCATTCAAATAGGAAAGAAGCCATCTAATCCTTTCATGCAGCAAGTAATGTTTTTATCCAGGAACAAGGTTTAGGAAGGGGAATTACAGTTAATGTGGTCTTACACCAAATAGTTTCAGATAGTTTGAGGTGTCTTGAATTACAATGCTTTAAATTCCTGCCTGTCAAATGTACATTTGGTTTATGGATTTGTTCTTTGTGACTGGTTTTTACTAACCACAGGGCAATAGTTCTAAATGTACTTCTTTAAAAAAAAAGTTTTTAATGTTCAAACTCAAACCTTTTAATCTTTCAAACTTGGTTTTGCAGAAGAGGACCCAGGGGTCCTGGTGGACACCCAAGTTGAACGTGAACCAGCAATGTGCCCTTGAGGCAAAGAAGGCTTACAGCATCCTAGGCTGCATTAGGAATAGTGTTGCAGGTTGAGGGAGATGATCCTGCTGCTCTACTCGGCATTGGTAGGGCCACACCTGGAATGCTGGGTCCAGTTCTGAGCTCCCCAGTACAAGGGAAACATGAACCCAAGGAAGCTGTGATATTGAAGGTATTCAAAGCCATCTGGACGTGGTTCTGGACAACTTGATCTAGGTGGCCGTGCTTGAGAAGAGGGTTGAACCAGATGATCTCTGGAGGTCCCTTCCAACCTCAAGCATTCTGTCATTTTGTGAAAGTTTAGGCCATGACAACTGAGGCACACAGACACATTCTACTCCATGCAGCAATACCACTGAAAGAAGAGATTTCTATGGCAGATTTTCATGTCATCTCAACTGGAGGTAGAAGGTGTGTGGCCTGTGTACCATTTCACATGGCAGAGAAGAAGCTGTTGCCCTTCATGAGAGGAAGGAACCTTGAAGGCATCTGACAATAATAGGACACATTTGAATGCAAGGCCTGGCTCAAATCTGCCCTTACCTCTATGACAGACCAACTATCTGGGTGCAGAAAGGCAAAAAGAGAGCAGTATACGCCCTCCTCCCAGCCCAGTAAAACTGCTCACCTCTCACCAAGAGCCTATGAACTGAGGATAAGCCAAATAATGACTCCGCCTCTGTTCTTGCCATCCATCTGCCAAGCAGAAGAGCTGAACTCCACTGATGCACTGATCTTCTGAACTTGCCCTGTTGTGGAAGAAGGGAGGCAGTGAGGTTTGACTTTTTCTTCTCTTTGTGGTGCTGCTTGGATATGTGCTGGGAAGAACCCCCAGCTTGACGCAAAGGCAGAAAACAGGACAGAGTCATTCAGTTCGGCCTTTAAATTATAAAACCCACAGACACTTTCCAAAATGGATCATGAAAGTAAAAACAAATCCCCAACTATGTTCAGCAGCTTCTTGACAGCTCCTTTCCCAAACCCACATGGCTTTAGTTTACCTGACTAGCACGTGGGTGACAGCAGTGGTAATGGTAATAGCGGAATGGTTTTGGGAGGGCAGTCAGAGCTGGGTTTAATATGGATGCAGTGCTCTTGTGCTTGGTGGTTCCTTGTGGCTCAGACCGCTCTGCAGTGTCCCTTGACTGCTCTGTGGCTGCAGTCATAACCTCACGTCCCCCTCCCCACGTGCCCCTCTCAGTGTCCTGATCTATTCAGTGGAGGAGGCCGAGGCAGGCGTCACTCGGAGCCGTGGTACTGGCACGGCCGCCTTGGACAAGGTGCACATTGTCTTGCCCTGGCACTGCCTCTCCTATTGGCCTGTCCTGCCCCGCTGCAGGGACCAGGCATCTTTAAAAGAAGGCCCACAGAGTCTGAGTCAGGCACTCAACCTCTCTGACTTCCACCAAGAGCTGCTGTGGCCACTGGCTCTCTGCAGGACCACTGACTCACAAAGCCAAGACAATGTGTAATCGATTCATGGGAACCTGGAAACTCGTCTCCAGTGAAAATTTTGATGACTACATGAAAGAATTGGGTGAGAAATGTTCTATCTTTTTTTTTTTCTTTCTATTATGTTTTCCTTGAGAATATTTCTTCTTCATCTTCTGCTTTGTTCATGAATGATGCTCTCTTCCTGGCCAAAAAAGAACTTTAATTACTTTTCTAGCATAATTTAATTCCTTTCCTTTAGCATTTAAAATGGAAAAACAGAAACGTAGATGCTGAATTACTATCATTACTTTATTTCTGTCTAACTGAACTGACCTGATCTAACTTGTTTTTCTGTAATAAGAATAATATATGGAAATGCAACATTTTTTAGTGTTTGTCTTGATTGCACCATTAAACCCATGACTTGTGGTAATTTACAATATATAATGGAGCTGATGTCTCATGACACTTTGGTTTCAGAGGTCTAAATCCTATGAATGAATCTATCTGTCACTGCAGAATGCCAGGAATGTAGTAAATTAGGCATTGTTTTTCATTTTAATGCTGGCTTCATTCCTATACAGCAAGTGCACAGACAGTCAGCTACAGCATTTCTTTTGCTATATAAATGATGCACTGAAACACTGATTCCCTTTATTTGAAATGTTAAACTGAGTAAAAAAAGAACTGCAGTTAATTAATTAACCATAGTAAATGTTGGTGAAAGTCCAGCTACAGATATTTTTCTGAAGATCTGAACAGAATTGTTTCACTATAGGATAATTACTGCAAATAGTGTTATACTTTACAGATAACTTTGTATCCTTTTATATGGATCATTTCATAGCATAACATTATCAAAGACAATAACTATAGCTATCCCCTTTCTGCTTTTATAAAACAGTAATAAATCATCAGTGGCCTTCAGTCCCAGACCTCACAACTTGTAGACAATCAACTGGACCGAAAAGCACTGGACAATATAAAAGGCTTTTGACCTGAAGTTTTTCTGGAGTTCTCTGCAACTCTTCACTCTTACACTTCAACTTCTTTTATATTTCATACTTGTACTTTGTGCTGAGGTTTAGATGTAAGGATCCTTTAGAGATGTTAGTAGCGACTTAGGAATTGCCCAATCTCCAATATATGTTTAATGAACAAGCACCAGCACATTAGCAGTTCAGTACCCAATTTTTTCCATGCAGATGGTTAACAAAAGACTCATCTCAGATTTGTCAAGATTTTTAAAAAATTATTTTTGCAAGTTTTCATGAGAAATAGACCTTTCCTCTGAATTTTTCTACCCATTTTATCTCTACACAATTTCATGCAGATTTGTAACCATCTATGCTTTTTCTTAGCTAAATGTACACAAGTGTGTACTCATGGATATCTTTATTTCTTGCTGAAGGTGCACTCTATCAACTGGGGCTGCCTCAGCCTCTGAACACAATACTTCCACTTTCAAAGACTTAGTGCCTCATCTGAATCAGGCATTGGAGTATTCAAGAAGCAGCTGTTCCTTTTTCTTCCACTGAAGATTTATGGAAGGATGCTGAATTTCTTGCTTGCTAGAGTGTAATGATAGTTTAATTTCTGATTTCTAGGAGTGGGCTTAGCTAGCCGGAAACTCAGTGGCCTGGCAAAGCCTGATGTGATCATCAGTATGAAAGGGGATGTAGTAACCATCAGAACTGAAAGCACTTTCAAAAATACAACGATCTCTTTCAAACTGGGCCAGCAGTTTGATGAAACAACGGCAGATGACCGGAAAGTCAAGGTAAGGGAGCTGATGATATTGAGTGGTCCAGACATCTCCTAGAACAGCACCGTGAGGAGTTTTTCCCACCCCTTTAGTGCACTGTGAGTTTTCCAAACTATTCAAAGAAAGCACTGAAAGAATAAATAGTAATGTTAACATTGGAAACTAATGTTAGTAAGCTTGTCATTAGCCAAGAATGCGGATCTTCCTGAACATAAAGTGAATTGCTGCTCTAATCTGCAAACCTTGGACTGCAGTTTGAAACTCTTCTCTTGGCCTTTGCAGAGCGTCATAACCTTGGAGAAAGGGGCACTTGTGCAGGTGCAGAAGTGGAATGGCAAAGAGACCTCGATAAAGAGAAGACTGGTTGATGGGAAAATGGTGGTGGTAAGCTCACAATCCTTGTATGCCGATAAAGATCAGAAGGATGCAGAATTTGGTTTGCATCTGTTTAAGTAGACTGTCAATTTTGGTTTTCTCTCTGGCTTATGGGATAAATTAAGAGGGAGAAGAAGGGAACCAAGCTTAGGAAATTAGCTGGAAGGAAATAAATGTTGTTCCATATAGCAAATTGTCTTTAAAGTTACTATATTGGCAGAGCTGCCATAAATTGACAGCAGACTTACTGCTCTAAAGATTATTGTTCTTAAAAGACATGAGGTTTTCAAATAGCTGAAACTTGTGAAATGCAAATAAAAGTTTACAAGTTAGGTACTTCTGTTCCTGGAATGGCTCTTTCCTTTTTCCTACCTTTGGAATAAAGCCTATCCACCTTAGAAAACTGATTTTACACCTTTTCACACATCAATTTCCACTGAAGCCCACCAATTCACACACTTCTGCTTGCTCTTTCTGTGTGAGCATGCCGAGCACACTAAGTAGGTGCTTGAGGTTTGCTGCGTGAATGCCAACAGGTTTGTGCCCACTCCTACCTGCGTGGTGACCTGCACCAGGGACTGGCAGGGCCCGATGGCTCCTGCAAAATGCCCACTGTGATGAGGGAATAATGTTCTTGAGGGCAGGGCAATGGTGGCTTTCCCTCACCCCCCACTCAACCTGACTTTCTCTGGCAGCCATGTGTACGCCATGGGTTGGACAAGGTGATAACACATTTTAGGGACCCTAGTTGTAAAGGTCACGACTAAAATTAAGATTTCACTTTTGAATGAAAGAAAGTGATTTGTTCATTAAAGTTTTTGAAGAGTGGTCCCAAACTGATTTAGATGACTTCTTTGAAATCAGTAACATTATACCTTTACATGCCAGCTTGTTCTGACTGCATTTTGTTTTCAGGTCTCATACATTTGGAAGGGTGGTTTGCTTTAGCATCTCCTCATGGCTGAATTTCTGTGTAAATATTTTCTAATTATTAAACCATCTTTGAAGAGCAGAGAGGTAGGGTCTCTCTTCTATTGGCATCCTGCCATCTGCCCCTTGCCTCAAACAGGTTTGTGGAGGAGGCCTCATCTTTCGCCGACTGATGAGGTTTTTTTTTAATGTCCCGTCATTTCTGTCACATACATCCTGTGGCCCTGTGTCACCAGGAGCTGCTGAAGGCCGCTGGGGTGAGAGGGTCATGAGAAATATTTTGTGACTCATAAGTGCAAAGCTTTTTAGGCCAGAAGCCTGACCTCTGAATAACCCAGGCTACTTCTGCTTCCACAGAAATACCTTTGTAAAATTGAAAGTGTTTGTGGGCCACGGTATAATAAGCTAGGTGGGGCTGATATTTCTGTCAAGCCAGCAATAATACTAAGGAAGGTAAATTTGTTTCTGGAAGCTGAGCCTAATTTTGCAATCTATTTGTCATTACATGCCACTTAAATAAGTCTGAAGATGTTAAAACAGAAACCACTTCATTGCAATGTAAAAATAGCTTTGTTGTTTCCTCTAAAAATTATGTAAAGTTGTAAAACATGACATTTGGATTTTCACTGACTTCAGAGGTTGCTGCAGCAGACACTCCTGCTGTCAGCAAAAAGTTTATCTTAATATTTTCCTGTGTGCCTTAGGAATATGCCATGAAAGGAGTTATCTGCACTAGAGTCTACGAAAGAGCGTGAAGAAATTCCCTCTTTGGACCGGACTGGGACTGGCTCTTAAAACTCGGCTTAGTTCAGTGACCAAAGCTTCTTTATTTTCTTATTTCCTTTTATTGGGAAAATGACTACACTATAATTTGATATTTCAGAGCCGTAGTGTAACTAATCCAATGTATTGTGGTGATCCAATAAAAGCTTCTCAACACATAAAATAGAGTGTTTGTCTCCACATGAATGATTTAAGTTTTCTTGCTTGGATCTTTTCTGTTATTCCTGTCTGTAGAAATGGTTGATCTATTTCTGAATAAAATAGTGAAACACAACTGATCTGCTTCTGAGAGAGGGTTAACACTGCTTCCTTGATATGTGTAAAAATTGTCATCTCATGGATTCAATACTGCTTTCCTGTGAAAGATTTTATTGCTGAATAGATCCTATAGAAAAGATCTTTACTGCCAGAATTTTTTACTTCCAGTATGATTTATTGCTTCAGCATTATGGTTTTACCTCATCATTCTCATTCCAAAATGTTTATGCTTCTTTCAATACCACTTTTTAGATCCTGACATTTATTTGGAAGAGCTGGTGGAGGAAAAAATTATCAGAATATATTCCATGTTTCTTTGTCAAAAGAGCTCTTGAACTAAGAAATGAAGTGTGGACCAGGTGTGAATGAACTCCAGAAATTTTAAGCCTAGAGGGCTTCATTTTGGAAAGTACTCAGCAATTCAGTATATTTCTAGCACAGCATTTAAGCACGTGCTTAACGGTAAGCACATAAAGGAGATTTTATTGGGTAGAGTTTGGTACCAAACCCAGCTGAGTAGCTAAGTTGTTCATTCCTCCCATTGCACTTTACTTTTAACTAAGGAAAAAACAGATAAACCAAACCTAGACTTCTGGAAATCTATTTAATCAAACAGCACTGTAGCAGCTTATTAATTCTTCCCTCTGTTATCCAGTGTTCAATAACACCAAAACATTCATGCTAAGCCCATGAAGTGGAGTATTTAATCCCTTGTCATTACCTCCATACCATCATGCAGGGCTTTCCTTGCCTTCTCTGTGGGGTTAAAACAACTGTGAGAGGTACTTGAGTTTATTTTGGCTCATTAGGAGCTGCAGTGCTGATGTGACCCGTTGCCTACTGGTTTTACAGTCAAGGACACAAAATCTCAAGGCTAAGAATGATCCTGAACTTGAGAATCTATATTGGTGTGGCCAAGCAGATAGTTAAGAGGCAGACATCATATGTGAATGCAAAATGTAAAGGTCATCATTCTTCTTTACCCATCACTGGAAAAGCTAGAGACTGAATCCATACACTTTTATGTAGATGTGGACTAACTAGAGGCAGCTGCCAGGAGGCAAACAGGATGAATCCTAGAAAATACAGGGTGTGAGAGAAGGCTGTGAGATTTATGGACAGCAGATTATTTTAAGAAAGAGTTTATCTTGGTCTCTAACCTAGAGGGAGGATCAATGTACCTATCTTATCCTAGCCTTATCATTAAAACTCACTTCTGTGAGTGTCAGAGGTTCTGTGACTCCATGTCCTCAGTGGCCTCAGTGTAACAAGGAATGGAGGCAGCATGATAGCCCTTCTATCATCTTTTGCAAACAGATTGTAATTACACATTTTAAGTGAAGATCAGCCACCAGACTTCCATAAGATCAGTCATACAGAGTGAACTGTTGTTGTATGTGAGCTTCCAATTTATTCTCCTAGACTCTTAACAGGTAGCTGAAAAAGCACTTCTTACTCAGAAGTAAGAAAAATTATTCTCCCATGGCCTGAAAATCACTTATTAAATCTGAATTTTTGCTCGGTAGCTTCTTCATTCCCTCCCCTTGCAATGCAGCACAGTTTCTGTGAGGCTGCTGGAGCTGCTGGCCCTGGCCGGGCTTTGGAAAGGTGGAAGTTGTCCGGAGCCTTTAAAGCAGAACTCATCTACTGCCTCTGAGCCACAGGCAAAGGAGCAGCTACTGCTGCAAACAGGCTCTGTATTTCCTTTGCTCTTCCTGCTGCAACCTGTAAATGCTTCTCTGAGGTTAAATGGAAAATTTTAATCTCCAATAAAATATCAGTTTTCAGCTTTTTATTTCCTTGAGAAAAGGAAATAAACATCCACTTTGGTACAAACTATGGTTTTTTTCCAGATCTGAAAACAGTAACAAAAGGAAAAAAAAAAAAACAAAACAAAGGACTGCTCACCTAGTCTTTATTTATTTATTTACTATCTTCTCCTTTTCTGTGACATATTCCATCTCTCACCTCTTCTCCTTATGGAACTTGTAATTGTGTATATTTTTCCAGAGATCTAGGATTAAAATAATGATAGCTTGAGTTTTTAAGTTCCTAACTAATTGCAGATACGCTATTAGAAGCCTAATATCTGGTGCTTTCACTCTATACAAAGGTCACTTAAAAATGTCATGAGAGCTGGTGACTTTCCAAAACAGGAAAAGTGCAACAGCACTGATAGTGTTGAAGGCAAAAACAGTAAGGCAGGTGGTACAAATCAACACAGAAATTGAGTATTTTGGGATACTGGTGCTGTAAAACAATCCTTGGGGGTTTCAGGAGAATTTAGGGGGAATGTGAATTGTGTAGTCTCAAGGTCTTTTTTATGTCTTACTGTAGATTGGTTTTTCTTCTTTCCTAAACTTTTTGCATCAGCCAGATACTTCTGGAATGAACATCTAGACTAAGGTACGATGCCTACGCTTTCACATTGACAAAGTGCATTTGCCATTTGCCTGGCTTGTGTATGCACTTCATCTAGAAATACTGGTAGCCTGATGCTAGCAGTTAAACAGCAATATTTTAAGCAATCAGCTTGATCTAGTGCCCCCAATTTCAGAGGGTCACAAACACACTCTTTGCCCATCGGTCACTCTTTCTGTGAGTGTGGTAAATCTCCATCATACCTCATTTCACCTGCATCTCCCAAGGTGATGGGAAACATCTGCATGGGGTATTCATCCTCTGATTGTTACCGACCTGCCAGCATTGCCTGCCTCTGCCCTGCTGGACATCTTTTGGGGCAGGAGAAGCAAGCTGGCCTGACAAGAGCCCCACCCCAGCCCCTGAAACCAACTAAAGCTGTATTTGGACTCTGGGTACCACAGCGGTTGCCTTGGACTGGGCAGAATTTGGCAACTAGTGACAGAAAGCATCTAGTAGTGATGCATATTGGAAACCTGGGATATTGTATCCCACACTCTAGTCTTTTCTACACAGAGTGAAGCAGAGAAGAGAGGCAAAGCCACTGACTCTCTTGCAAGAGAATCTTTGTCCCTGCTGATACCTCAGGCAGTATCTTTCAACTTCCCTTGGCTGTCTTAGGTAAGTTCATTTTGGGGGCACCTGTATTCCTGTAAAGTGAATTCGCACCTATGTACGGGCCCAGCACATGGACTTTGCTGCTGTTTCACACAGAAATCTTGTCATCTGTTGGGACAGTTTCACTAGGCAGAAAACATGTGGCTGAGCAGTTCTAGAAACGGCAGATTTTGGGAGGGAGATCAGGCTGTGTTCCTCAAGCAATTGCACTTCACAAAAAGTCCTCACCACTTAGCACATTTTTTTCAGAGAAACAACTTAATATGCTGATAAATGTTGTGCTGTATAGAAATTACTCGACTGTGCCTTTAAAGAGATTGTTCCCTTCCCTAATTTTCATTTTGGATTAAAGATGTTCTGTTGATGTCTGGAATACACAAGAGTGAAAGGTTAGCACTGAAGGGATAATCAGTCAGAAACAAATAGGCTGATGCCATGAAAAAAATTGCCTTCAGAAATCCTGAAATTTAGATGTAATCAAGGTCTTTGTTAGGGAGGCAATTAGAGCATATCCTTGCCATTTCAATGCAAAACGTTGTGATTGGCTATTGGCCATGGTGCTGCAGATGGGAAACACAAGAAAATGATGTTATTTGGACTAAAGGGCACAAAAACATTAGGAATAATGCAGTCCCTGAGACACTACAGAGAGAAAAAACTGTGTTTAGACACTGCTGATACAGTGTTTTTGAAGGATATCATGCTTTTTTTACCTCTCGAGCAGCAGATCAGTATTTAAATGCACTTTCCTCAAATATTATGAAAAATTTAAAAGCTAAAATCAGGAGAAATGTGATGATTGGGGTGAATGGGTTACAGCTGGGTCTAGTTTCGGGTCCTCAGTGGAGTACTAATTGAAAGTATTTAAAGTATTTTTCATATTATTTGCTATAATGTGATCACCAGTATTGATCATACTGTTTGTGAGAAGTGCAAGAGAGGGAAAAAGGGTTTTCTATTTACTCCCAAGTGAACACAGTCGCTGGCACACACCCCTGTAGTTAAGACTTCCTTAGAAGAGGCACCTCTGTCAGCAGTGGGGTCAAAAACATTATGAGAATTGATCTTGTCCTTCAAGCCTATAAACACAGCATCACGGTTAAAGCTTCAGGAGGAGACATCTCTAGTGGAGCTGTGGGACGTGCCAGATAAAGCACAGCCTGTATAAAGTTTGACAGAGTTTAGGATTTCTTGGGAAATCTGTAGGCATAATTACAGGAAAGGAGAGACATTTAATGTATCTAGCTATTGTACAATACTTATAGATGTCAAAAATAATCTCATTTATGTCTCAAATCCCAGTATGAATTTCCAGAGCCGAAATCTAAAACTTCTTCTAGGAAGCTCTGCACTTTTGATATGAAAAAAGTCTGTATGACAGTGAAGGTGGAGCCTTCAGTCTCCTTATAGAGAGAATCTCCTTGCAGAGGGTCACAGCTTTGTACACCATTGTGTCACCTTTTTGTACCTTGCACCATGTAGTGTTCAGAGTATTATAGACCACTGACGCTTACAAATCTGTATAGGCAAACTCTTTCAGAAGGGACATTAATGCCTTCACAAAGCTCCTCTCTTTATGAACAGTGGAAAAATAAGACTACAAACCAATCTGACACTGCTAGCTCAAATGTTTTCATTTAAGTTAACAAGAGATAGAGCAGTCAGATTATGAAAGGTTAGATGCATGAATGTCTGTGTTTTCCAGATAGGATCTGAGCCCTCTGGCTAGGAGAATAGGAATCAACATTAAGGTCTCCCTGGTGCTTCCTTTTTCTGGGGATTTTGGTGTAATCAAGAAGCATCATCACAGTTTATTCTGGCTCTGTGTCCAGTTGGGCAGGGAGCGCAATGTGAAATAAAGAGCCA